ACATGCTCTTCAAACGACCCTTCTTATCAAGCACGTACTCAAAGAAAAACTCTGGATCCTTCTCTTTTCTGCTCCTCATAATCCCAATTGCCGTGTTAGCATCACCCTTCGCAATCAACTTCATTTTTTCTCGGCAACATAGGTTGTACACGTCTCATCTCAGAAACCCACACTTATCATATGAGCCATACCTGCTAATGAAGTTGTCAACGATGATATGCTTTCTGATCCCAGCTCCTTCCATCGCCAAGATCTCAGCTATCTGGTGATCTCCCATCACTCGATGTGACCGCAGAAATATCACCTCATCTGGTCTAGCCAACAAATGGTTGTGATCATCCATAAAAGTTGCCACGAACCAAACTCCACGTCCTTTGTCCAACTTCACGACTAAATGTGCGCCACACTCGCAACGAGTCTCTGGTCTTAGCCTGCGGGTACGGCCCTCCGGGTTTAAAAATTTACTGCGACGCTTTCCTGCCCTCGAGCAAACGTATCTCCTATACCGAACAGTGGTTGAAAGTCCTTTTCCTCGTTTCACCTTATCTTTTCTGATACTAAATCCACGGTATTTGGCATAGTTATTATAGAACATGTGAGCCTCCCATTGTGATGCAAATGTCATACCCATAACCTTCAACTGTGTCTCCAGCGCACGTTGCTGGATTTCAGCTTCCTCAATGTCCATATTAGCTCCATCCTCATGCTCATCTCCATCTTCACCACTCCAACCATCAAAGTTAGCCTACAATATTCCACATAAGCAAGTGTAAGTTGTCATTACCAACTATTTATTATTCAATGACATCTTAAATTTTGGACCGAACCTGGCTTATGTTATCCCCGAAAGATTCAACACCATGATTTTCCTCGTTGTGAACGTCAATATCCTCCTGCACATAAAAAAATCATATACACGTGTAAGTACAATATGGTTCTTCATCCGACAAAAAGAATGTACAAGACACTTACGTTTTCACTACAAGCACCCTCCTCCTTCTTTTCAAAATCCTCCTCAGGTAAATTATTGTACGACGACCAGGATTCATTGTCGCTGCCATCATCATCATCTTTACTATCATTACCATTCGTATGATCAACACTATCGCTACCATCCCACTCACTCGTGTCCAAAAGCAGATCCGTAAATCCAGTTTCTTTATCCATTAAATGATCTCTCAACCTACACTGCAATATTATAATAAAAATTGATCTATCAATTTTAAATCAAATTAAATGTACTACGATCATACAGATGAGAAATTCTTATCTAACAAGAGATTGCACATAATTATTTACAGATTCAATTTTTTTGACGAACTAGAAGGCTTACATGGCATGCACGTGCACTTCGGCCCGCCTGGCGTGGCTGCGGACGGCGAGGACGTTGCCGGAGAGGTTGATCACGGAGTTGCGGGCGGCGACGGCGTCCACGTAGGCCACGTCACCGCGACGACCTGCACGGAGGCGACATCACGTACGGCGGGCGACTCGAAGATCTGTCCGCGCCGGCCAGATCCCGGGTGAAGACGGGGAGAAGGCGGCGATCGGCCGAACGGGAAGACGTTGGAATTGGCAGCGTGATCACGTCTAGATCGGCGGGGAAAGGCGGCTATCGGCGGGTAAGGGCGGCGATCGGCGGGGCGGGGCGACGTTGGAATGGGCCGCGTGATCAGCGCAGGTCGTGGGTTTTTTTTTCGCTCGACGGCGAAAGGGTAGTTGCGAGCCAGCCGTATCGGCTCGAGCCGTGCGCTCGGCTCTACCTGTATGGGTACGCCGCATACGGCGCGGGATACGTTAAGCACCGTATGCCCAAAATGCCCTTATACGTTAAGCGCGGGGGGTGTACCGAAGCAGACCTCTTTGTCAGTACATTTCTTTCTTGTACCCTTGTCTTCTCATGGTACAACGCGCCGCCGAGGACCCGTGATCTGGAGGTGTTTGCAGGCCAAGCAGGGCTACTTCTTGATCTTCTTATCGTTCCGACCCCTCTTCCTCTCCTCCCGCCTCTCCTCCGAGTAGTTCTTCTTCACCAGCATCTTGTCCATCGAGACTCTGAGGGCGGTGAGCACCGCGGCCAGCACCTCCTCCTTCTTTGATGCGTCAAGGCTTCTCTGCAGCGCCAGCAGAAGTTTCTCTCCATGTGGTACTTCGCTGTCCTCCAGGATTGCGGGTCGGCTGAGGCTGATAGATCCTTCTGGAACCGGGGGATGATTCTGACACGGGTTAATAAGTGGGATGATGCCTGGTTTGGCATGTTTGATGCGCCCATGACGGAGGCCCTCCGTGGGGGTGGTGCTGGCGCTGATCTGGCAGTGCGGCGACGGCCGAAAAAACGAAACAGCCTCGTGGTTGTGCGCCCCCTTGCGGCCGGTGCTCCACCACACCATGGCTGCCGGCGGCCGGCGAGCTCGAGGAAGGGAGGGGAGAAGTAGGGTTTGCGGTCGAGTTTCGATGAGGCAGCAGGACTGGAGTGGGAGCGTGGACTATGACCGGTCCACGACTTCCCATTTAAAAAGAACAGCGAGCACTCGCCTGAACGGATGACAGGTGGGGCCGATCATGTGTGCACAGTTAATTTAGGTGGTGGGAGGTAGGTGGCCATCTGCCACGCGGCACCGATGCGGACGAGAGGCGTGTCCATTCGCTGTCCGCCTGGACCCAAACCGGGCGCATATTTGCGCTGGAAATGGGTCGGGCCGGACACAAAACAGACAAGATGGGTTTAGGCCGTCGCGCGCTGGGCCGTGGGGTTTGTTCTTTTTGCCCCAAACGGACATGGCCGAACGGGATGAGGCCGTGCTCTGTAGTTGGCCTTGGAGTAAATTTAGTAGTGACCAATTGTCATAACAACTGCCAATACGATCTTTGTCACGTACGTTGAGGCGACAGATGATCATTGCACGAAACGTTTCACGTCGCGAGGTGAACCTTGTTCTCGCCGCCATCATATCGGTGGGCATGTCACGATATAGGGACGACGTTACGGGACACAGGGAATCCTCCAGGGCAACTCTAACAGAATCATCATATTGAACAAATCATCGTAATAACTTCTAATACGATCGTTGTCACTAGACCTGGCCATTGGCAGGCCGGCCCAGCCCGACCTTGTCCACAGGCCGGGCTCGGGCCTAGATTTCAAGCCCGATGGCCGGGCTGGGCCTAGGCCCGTCGTATTCACACGTTAACGAAGAGGCCCGGCGGGTTTTTAGCGTGATGGGCTAGGCTCGGGCCTGATTTTTGAGCCCGACGGTGTGGTCGGACTTGGGCCTGGGTTTTTTTCATCGGGTTTTGATAGGCTCGGCCCGACAGATGGCCAGGTATAGTTGTCACATACGCCGAGGGGATACATGATCATTGCACGGAAGCGCTTCGGGTCACGAGGCGAGCCTTGTCCTCGCCGCCGTCGTATCGGAGGTCATATCACGGCAAATGGACGATGGCGGGGGGAGATGGAGCGCTCTCGCTCACGACCTCCCAACCGGCCGTCAGTCGAGATCACGACGACAAATTAGCAGTCAGGGAGGGAGCGCAGTTCGTTCAGGCTCCCGGCAATTCGATGCGTTCCCAGGACGAACTCGTTTGATTACAGAGGGAGTATACAGTAATTATTGCACGATGATGATGATGATACTTGCGGTTTTCTTGGACCGGCGACTTGGATCGGATTGAATCCAATCCAGTTTTGTAATGACAAGCTGACATTTTCAAGTCGCGGCTCTCACAAGTCACGACAGTTAGGAACTGCAGATTGACAGACATCATGAAGCGCGCAGTCAGCAGCCGTCATGAGGTCACTAGAAAATGGTTGCCAAACCTACCCGTACAGTTTTGTCAATGCATTTCTGCCGCCGGTGCTTACGGGCCAGCCACTACGAGTACTGGAGAGAGGGACCAGCCCAGCCGGCGATATAAATCAGACGCAACACTCAAGATGTCGATTAAATAAAAGGCGCAACCATGCGCTTTGGGTTCATGATTGCAAGAACTGTTGCAATGAAATGAAGAATAAATTCCCGGGGTCCCTGATTACTACCTCCGTTTTAGTTTACAAGTCCTACGCGTATACCTAGGTTACCAATTTTATCACCCTAATATAAACTATATAATACAAAAATTATACCTTTTGAAAGTAGAAACTCCGAAGTTTATGTTGGTATATTTTTTGTAATATATGACTTGTATTAGGTTGGTCAAATTGACGACCTAGGGGTACGCGCACGCCCTCTAAACTGAGAGAGAGGTAGTAGCACCTTTCGTCTGGTCCTGGGCAACAAGTTCTGAACCCCCAATTTTTTTTTCTGAACTCCCTGAACCCTGATGTACTTGATGAAGACAAACAGGCGATCACCGGAAAATATTCTTCTCTGTTTGAGAGCAAGACACGGCATGTGCGGCAGCCCGCTCGCTCGTCCCAGCTCTTCGCAGAAACGCCAACAGGCAGGCGCGTCACGTTGAGAAGATCATTGAACGGAAGCTCTTGCGAAAGCGAAAAGGGCCACGAAGAACGTTGTCATCACCGCCATCATGTCGGAGATCATGTCACGGCAAAGGGACGACGGCCAGGGCCGGGCGTCCTCCCATGCCATCAGTCGACTAGATGGCGACGGCGATGCAATCAGTGAGGACGCAGTTATTAGAGTTGCAGCATTTCTCCAAGAACGAACTCTTCTGACACTTGGTAATTATCACACGATTGCTATCTTGGAGCAGCGATAGATTAAACCCAATTCACACCACTTGGTGTAGGACCAACTCCAATTTCGTGTAAGACAGAATTATCATTCGAAGCCACAGCTCACAAATCACAAAAAAAGAAACAAAAAAAAATTGTGGCATTTCGACTGAAGCCGCTATAGCATAAGCAGTCTCCATGCCATGGGTCACAAGAAAATGGTTGCTGAACCTACTTGTGCATTCCTTCCTTGTGCTCTGAGCTTTTCATGGTACAACATAGAGGACCTCTAATTTGACGGTGTTTTGCAGGCCGAGCAGAGCTACTTCTTGATCTTCTTATCATTCCGGCCCCTCTTCCGCTGCTCCCGCCTCTCCTCCGAGTAGTTCTTCTTCACCAGCATCTTGTGCATCGACACTCTGAGGGCGGCGAGCACCGCGGCCAGCACCTCCTCCTGCTTTGAGGCGTCAAGGCTTCCCTGCAGCGCCAACAGAAGCTTCTCGCCATGTGGTACTTCGCTGTCCTCCAGGACCGCAGGGTCGTGGTCAGCCGAGGCTGATAGATCTTTTTGGAACCGGGGGATGATTCTGACACGGGTTAATAACTGGGAGGCGGCCTGGTTAGGCATGTTTGATGCGCCCATGACGGTCCACAGGAGATCATCGGATGAGCTGTAGGCTAAGCTAGTGGGGATGTAGCTCTTTTCCGTTGTAATCACCTGCAAAGGGGCATGAGGCATAAGCTTGCTAACACCGCATAGAATAGGTAGATGATTTGTAAACAACTCTGGAAACAAGAGATTATTAGGTTGCGAGTCAACTAGAAAACGGGCAATGCACACTACCAAAACACAGCTGGCCTTTGCAATAGCATGATGATGTCAAGAGCTTGTTGACGCATGGAGGATGCACACACCCAAAATTACCAGTAAGCAGACCGAGGATGCATCGAGATGACAAGAGATATGTATTAACCATCAAATCTTCCAATTTATCTGACTAGTTACTAATTAGCAGGCCTGGTAAAACTGCTCCAGATCATTCTTAACTAGATTCAGTAACAAACTCTATTTTTTGTGAAAAAACTGCAACATACAGTCTCATGGTCGGGTACGGCAGAGGAACTAGCAATAGCCATAGCAACCAGCCCAACTGATGGATTGTTAGCCATATCACGTAACCCTTTTAGTTAAAAGTGTTATACAAGATTGTTAGGCCTGAGGATACAGTCTATTTAAGGGATTTGACTGAATGTTTCACTGGCAGGCAACACCAAAGACAAAAGTACATCCCTCTGTTGTCACGTCCTGGCCCTCAGTACAGTAGTTAACAAAACGAGCTCAGGCTTATCACACACTTGTATCAGTTATTTTAACTGCTAAGGCATGTGCTAGGCTTTGTAGCTAGTGAAATAAGTACTGTATGATATAACTAGCTACAGGCTAATACCTCTCCAAGACACTAAAGCCTTGTTCGGTTAATCCTCCTCCCAAGGGGATTGGAGAGGATTGAAGGGGATTTTAGGGGATTTAATCCCCCTAAATCCCTGCCAATCCCCTTCAAATCCACCAACCGAACAAGGCCTAAACAGGTATGAAAACCTTTTCTGGAACCAAGGTCTGGCAAGTGAATAGCGTAGGCATTTAGCCTTCAAGAAATCAACACCGAGCTATTGATCAGCATAAGACTAACTACTAGAAATATCATTTTAAAACAAGATTCTGTTGATGCTCTTGTATCTGAATCAGTTGCCTTGAAAAACATTATCAATAAAGTTGCTCTGAAAAACATGAAAATTGCTTGCCAAAGAGATGTACCTTTTAAATCAAAAAAGAAAAAGAGAGATGTACCTTTAGAAAAGATAACTTCTTTGCTACGAGATCGCATGCTAAGAGCATTATGCCATTCAAACTGCAGTGCTTAAAAAGAACCCTAAGTTACTGACGAAATAAACTTCATTACATGTTGAACAGACAACCGTCACTCAATCTTACCTTTGAATAGCTACAGCAACCAGTGAGTCATCATTTGTCACACACAAGTCTGCAATGGCTAGATTGCTATCTTCAGTTTCATCTGGCTGTTCTCCCACCTGCAAGTAGTTTTAAGAACTAATTAGCTACAGAAAAACTTGAAATTTTGTGAACAGACATAAAGCTTGAGACAATATTATCCAGCTTTTACCTTGTCTTTGACTTCATATGTATCAAGGAGGCAGCCATTTATGTAGTCCCATAACCGAACCTTAAACAGATAAAAGGGAACAACATCATGAGAAGTTTTGGCTAAGTTTATAGCGACAACATGCCAGATTCTAAACTGAATATGTACACACAGTTGAATCACCGCCTCCAGATAATAGAAAGCTTGATCCTCCTGAAAGGCTTGTGAAGGCAATGGAAGAAACGAATCTGCATGGGTAGTCACCTCAATTATCAAATACATTAACCACTATGTTGCAACATTTAGCTGTGAAACTACAGCAATTGGGATCATGATCAACAAAATTCAAAGTTATGTAGACATGGTAGGAACATTAACTGTAAAAAATGAACAAAAAGATGACAAAGTGAACTGAACATACTCTGTATGTCCAAGGCAAAAGCTCTGTATTTGGGGAGCCCCTTTTACAGGATCCTTTGGGAATGATGTAACCTACAAAAATAATTACATGAGTAAGATAAATAACTCAGAATTATGCCCCACCAAGGCGATTACTGCGAAGTACAGAAGTTCCATACTCGAATTTTGAAGTCCCGATCAGCAGTGGCAATGAACCGTCCATCTGGTGAGAATTTCTACATTCACAAATAAATGATATAAGTAAGCATGGTTATATTCGACATGAACAGAAAAAAACACTGAACTATGACAGTGACAGTCAGACATACAGGCTTACTGATCAATATATAGGAGGCACAAATAAATCCACATGGTGCATAAGGTGAAAATTTGTCCATACCATGCTAGTAATAATACTGCAGTAGTGACCATAAATTGAGACAGGTTTGTTATCATCAGATGACACCTGCCCTCCGCCATGTTCCCCCACAGTAACTAACCAAATGACACCAAACTTATCTGCAAATGTTACATACAGGCCATCTTTGCTAATAGCAACTGCGCTAACCCTCTTTTCAGAAGTTCTGCAGAAGCAAAAATATTGCAAAATAAATCATATGTATGCTCAGCAAATTTAGTAGTGCTAACAACAACACAACAATAAACATACTCACTATTCAATCACCAATTTCATTGCAACTATTGACCTAATACAAGTAAAATAAAAGGCTACTACTGAAAGGTAAGGAGAGGGTTCTCATACACCATATAACACAGCGACACTTATAGACTGAACAAATGCAAAATAACAGGTCCACTGTTTGGTGTCTTCATCGTGTTAGCAAGATTGAGTGAGAAAAAAAGCAGCACTCACATAGTCTGGATGCAGCGCCACGAGTCAGTCTTCCAGATCTTAACAAGCTTATCATCGCCCGCAGATGCGAACAAGGCACCATCAACACTGAACGAAATTGCTCTAATAGCATCTGAATGAGAACAACCGCCAGAATCATCTGACAACGAAACTGCACAACCACCCCTGGATGCACACAAAAAATAAATCATCATTTGCATTGCTCGTCAAGCAAACTGCATTAAAATAAAACTTTACACCTGAGAAATAAGCATATGTATTAGACAGTACAAAACTAAGCACCTGAGCTTTTACAAAATAGACAGCAGGAACGTTTTAGACATCTAAAATTCAGTAGTCATTCTTCCACACATAAGACATATGAAACCAAACTACTGTCTGTACAAGATAAGCACCTGACTCGGCTCAAAAGCGCATTTACCCCCAATCTCCACAAAAATCTAGCGATACTGCAGTCGAAACACGAACTTCGCTACACACAGGGCCCGACCGAGGTTATGCAGGAAGCCGCACCGCAGGCGAAGAGAGCAATCCTTACTTGAGATCGAACACGCGGAGCTCGGGCCCGACGGCGACGGCGACGGAGTGGCCGAGCGGGTGGGCGGCGACGAGCGCCGGCGCGAACTCGCCCGCGCCGCTCACCTCCGCCTCCTCGACCGCTGCGTCCTCCATGGCGGCAAAGCAGCGGCGAGCGTGGATTCGCTGTCGGGTTCGAATCCAGCGCGAGGCGCGGGAGGCGGGGGAGGGAGGTCGGGAGTGGGGAAATTGCTAGGGTTTATGGCTGGCTCTTCGTGGGACCCAGCGACCAGTCTCACCTAGGAGATTTTTAGGGGAATGTCAAGAGTGTTTGGAATTGGAACCTGGGGACGTAGATGGAGCCCAAACCCATAGTCTACTGGGCCTCAGCAATGACTGAGATGCTTGGTTTGGGGCTAAAAGGGCGGATCCTACCTATATGGCGCGCAGGATGGGGCGTGAGGTCCCTCAGTTTTTTTTCTTTTTTCTTTTATTTATGTTATTTTCTGTTTTATTCTCTTATTTTTTATTTCTTCTTTCAGCTCCGTTTTTTCTTCTTTGTCTTTATTTTTTTTTATCATTTTTGATGTTTTCAAATACTGAACAATTGTTGTCACTGAATTCAAAAAATGTTCATCTAATTCAAAAAATGTTCATGAAATTCAAAATTGGTTCATCGTAATTTAAAAAAATGTTCATCAAATACAAAAAATGTTCATTCAGTTTCCAAAAATTTCATCCGATTTTCAAAAAAGTGTTTTTAATTGAGAATCTGTTCATCAAGTTCAAAAAAAATGTTCATCATATTCAAATTTTGGTCACGTAATGTTTGAAAATGTTCATCCATTTTTTAAAAAAATCATCCTATTTTTTCGGAAATGTTCTTGAATTGAGAATTTGTTAATCAAGTTCAAAAAGTTCATCAAATTCAAAAAACATTCATCAGATAAAACAGGTTCATCAATATCCAAATTCACGAACATTTTTAAAATCATGAACATTTTTTCAAATTTGCGAACACTATTCAAATTCAGGAAGTTTTTTGGCTCCACAAACCTTTTTTGGAATTCGCATTTTTAAAAATTTAGAAAAGAAAAAAGGAAAAAAGAAAACAAGGAAATAGGGGGCTCCCCGCTGCCGCTCATGGGCCGGCTCCAAAATGGGCGCAAGCGTCCGCTCCCCGGCACGTGTTGCGCCATATAGGAGCACCCGGCTAAAAGGTTGCTACCCAAGCAAAAACAAAACTGGCCAATATTTGTCACTTTTCCTTGATGGCGTAAAAGAATGGTAGGCAGCCAATTAGTAGCTAAAGTTTGCTTTAGATAAAGCAGCCACTTTTAACCCACTCATTGTTCTCAAATAGATTAATATTTTATAAACACACGCATTCTTTGGTTAGTCATATTTAAAAAAATGAGTATTTTAATTAGTTATTAGTACAACAAGCAGGTTAATATTGCACAAAATAGTTTTTTTATTTTACTGAAACTATTCCTAAAACTAGACTAGATCTTTTTTACATGTATGGATTCTCTTAGCTTACATGCATATTTTTTTTAGTTTGTGAAACATATTTCAAAAAATAAACTCGATGTGTTGTTTAGATACTCTATCATAGACTTTTTTTGTCATCAGTGAAAAATTAAAAATCATTCTTGTTTAGTTTATATAGTATAAACATAGATAAATATATGTTAAATAAAATGAATTTGAAACATGTAACTCCCCCGCTCTCCTGTCAAAATCAGTGAATGAAGGAAGCTTGAGAGGAGTGACCATCTGCCGTGGTGCACCGGTGATATCTCACCTTTTATTTGCGGATGATACTTTGCTGTTTTTTGAAGCTTCTGGCCAGCAAGCGGACATTGTTAAAGGTTTGTTGAACACTTATTCCTCGGCGACGGGTAGCCCGAGAAGTGTTCCATCCTTTTCTCTGGAAACTGTAATGCGTCAGTGGTGGAGGAAATCAATATATCTTGGAGGTGCAGCAACAAGTGTTCGAACCAAAATACCTCGGTTTGTCGGTACCTGAAGGTAGAGCGCATAAGGGCCAGTTTGAGACCCTTCAGGACAGGCTAAGAAAAAGGCTAATTGATTGGAGTGAACAATATGTTTCTGTTGGGAACAAGGAGATCCTCATCAAGGCCGTGGCACAAACAATCCCAACATACGTTATGAGTGTGTTCCGACTTCCTGCTTCGGTGTGTGATGATCTTACAAAGATGATGAGGCAGTATTGGTGGGGGATGGAGAACGGGAAGATGAAGATGGCATGGCTTAGCTGGGAGAAGATGATGCTTCTGAAGGCTATGGGAGGTATGGGATTTCGTGATATAAGGGCCTTTAATCAAACTTTGTTGGCCAAGCAGGCTTGGCGTCTCCTGGACAGCCCGGATAGCTTGTGTGCTCGCTTGTTGAAGGCTAAATACTACCCAAGGGGGGATTTATTGGACACAGTATTCTCAGCTAGTTCTTCGGCGGTGTGGAAAGGTATTGTTCACGGACTTGATCTTGTGAAGAAAGGCATTATATGGCGAGTAGGTAATGGTACTCTCATTAAAACATGGAGAGATGCTTGGATCCTTAGAGGACATAATTTCCGGCCAGTAACTCCGAAGGGGAATTGTCGATACAATTGGGTGGCTGACTTCTTGGATGAGCATGGTGCATGGAATGTGCAACGGCTCAGGAAACACTTTTGGGACTTGGATGTGCGGGAGATTCTTAAGATTCGCACATCTCCTAGGAATGAGCAGGACTTCATCGCGTGGTTCCCTGAAAAAAGTGGACATATTACTGTCCGAAGTGCTTACCATCTCGCAACGGAAGTTCAGCATTCGGTACACTTGAGTTCCTCCAGTGGCAACCCCTCCGGACGGAGGCCTATCTGGCAGCGTATTTGGAGTTCCCAAGTTCCGTTGAAAATGAAGATTATTGCTTGGAAGGCTGTTTTCGGGTGCCCTTGCTACAAATGAGTGCAAGAAATATAGACACATCTCAATTTAGAGATGGATGTCCGTTATGTGGGAGAGAGAAGGAGACGAGCTTCCATGCTCTTGTCTCATGTGATCATGCGAGCATAATTTGGACACACATGAGGCTGGTATGGCGTCTTCCTAGCAATGCTGTCTTACAAGACACATGACATGACTGGCTGTTAAATGTTCTTGCGAACTGCGACGATCAAATGAGGGATTGCACGATCATGATGATATGGCGAATTTGGTCTTTGCGCTCAGACCTCACTCATGGCAAGGAGGCTCCCCCGTTGTCGGCGACGTCAGACTACCTCCAGAGTTACATGAACTCCCTCAACCTATGTGGCAGATTTTCAACGGAAGAAATTCTTAAGGGGAAGATGCCGATGGTGCAGGAGGCTCCACCCTTTGGCTTGGCCGCGGCCGCCGGCTGAATTCGTTGCCCTCTCGGTGGACGGTGCTTTCATGCAAGAGGACGGGTCTGCTGCGGCGGGTATGATCCTTCGGCGTCAGGATGGCAGTGTAATCTTTGCAGCATACAGGTGTATATTCAATTGCAACGATGCGTTGGACGCGGAACTGCATGCGATCATGCAAGGCATGGCACTGGCCGTGCAACATTGTTCCATGCCAATTGTTGTGCAGTCAGACTCAGCATCGGCGTTGGCAGCATTGACTGGGGAGAGCTTAACCAGGTCAGCTTATGGACACTTGGTGACGGAGATCAAGCATCATATGAAGACTCGGGAGTTTGTTCCATCAAAAATCAAGCGTGAGCAAAATAGGGTAGCACATCAGTTGGCATTGTATAGTCGTACGAAGTTCGCTACTGCTGTATGGCTAGGGAGAAGCCCTCCTCGTATCGAGGATTTGGTGCCTCTTGATTGTAGCCCTATGCATATGGAATAAAACTCTCTTTCTATCGCAAAAAAAAAAAAAAAACTCCCACGCAAAAAAAAAAATCCATGTAACTTTGAACTCACGAGTTATGTCTTACAACAGTGTGTGCCCGTACGTGGCCGCGGATCCTCATCTATTCTTTTCTCAGTGAACTTTTTCGCTTTAAAACTATCTAGTTGCATCATTGATGCAGTGCCATCTTATCTAATCAACACTTTAGCTGTAGATAAGTTCCACGTACGCAGGAAGAAAAGATAGATATCCACGAGAGGACGTGAGAGCCGGCCAGCGTTCCCGAATGGAGGTAGACGCCTGCTCGAGCTCGACCATACGAACCGTGCGAGAGGCGATAAGAGGCGACAGGGGCGTACGTCCCCTCCGTGGGCGGCCAATGGCGCGCCGGAGACACGCACGCATGGGAGCGGCGTCCACACGGCCATGCCCCCGTGACACGGACGCGCTCTCCCACTCCCGGGTGCCTGCCGAGGAGGTGAGGAGAGGAGCGGAACATGTCGCTCCACGCCGCTCCCGGCGTGCCCCGCGCATGTCGATCACATGATCGAAAGGCTAGCCCGGACACGACACGACATCGTATGCGTCGACGTATCGATCCATATCCAACCCCCCAGACGCCCAGACACGATGCATGCATGCACTCGGGACAGCACCCAAAGCCCGGCCGACGTCCGGTCGATGGCTCGGCTCGGCTGATACGTACTACATACCTGATGAAAGCGGCACGACCGGAAAAAGTGAGTGGGACGACCGATCATCGATCGAGATGGGTGGCGGGATAGAAGTAGAACCGATCGACCGACACTGCAACCGCATCCACAACGATCGACGCGCCGCGTCTTGCCACTTTGCCTCACGGCATCTACGCGAACTGTTGTTCGGTGAAGATGCCGGGCACGGACGTGGCTAGACATACCGACGGTCTTTGCACGCACCTGCAGGCGACTGCACAAGTACGTGGCTGTTCTGCAAAGAAAACGAAATGGTGGCACGTAGCGGGGCCTGTGGAACATACCATGTCGCCATGGAGGAGTGCAGGTCGTGAGGATTATGCTGGAATTTTGTCTATTTTTAGCCTAGCCCAATAGCAGTTTTAGAAATTCCTAATAAATTCTAGAAGCCCACGCAGCCCATTAGTGCAAGGCAAGAGGTGGAAGTAAAGTTTAGTCCCACATTGCTAGTTTAGAGGGAGTTGGACCTCTTTATAAGGGAGGCTATTTCCCCACTTGTATGAGCATGAGAACAAGAGGGACATCTACGCGC